GTCTCCACAGACGCCCGAACGCATGTATGTAAACAGCCATCGCTGGCTGTTTACATTCAAAGCCGGTTTTCCGCTAGGCGGCGGGCACGAGCAGAACGGGATAGGACGTCTAAAGACGCCCACCCGCCTCAAGAAGCCGCTGTCCGGCCGTTTAATTACAACGGCCAGACAGCAGGTAGTTAAACAACATTACACTTTGCTCAGATCATTGGGCAACCCAGTCCAGGAACTGCATCTGATACCAGGTGGCAGTCCAACCCTCCCCGGGGGCTAACATTGTTCCACACTAAAATTGTATTTCATTACTCGTATTTTGTGACCTATAAGTCCAAAAATAAACTGAAATTCCAGACATATGATATGCCCTATAAATCAGGATGAATACAAGAATTGAATATGAATTACTTTCAGTTACCTACACCAATTATGTACACATTATTATTGCCAAAACTAAAAAAATTGCTTTTTTTTTTTCAATTTTTTGCATGTGTGGTAAAAAATAAGATGTACATATGCATGACGTCAAATGAAAGCCCATTTTTAAAACAAAAACCGGTAATATGTGTAGGTGCAATGCATGAGGAAGATGGAAATGATGGTTAAACACACACACACAGAGCAACAGTGGCAGAATTGCTCCGGTCCCCAGGAACCAAAAATGTTTCTGAAGCTGAAGGGGTTAAACGGCAATCATCCAATAGGGCAGACTCCTTTCTACATTTCATTACCAATGCAATGTATAAGATAGTTCCCAGCAGACTGAGAGTTAAAAACCATGAATGAAACGAAATGAAGAATACATTAGCTTCAGGTGTGCCGCCAACTCTTCTATGGATTGTTCTAGAAATTCCAGGAAATACAAACGCTCTTCTGGAACTCATTACGGAGAATCTGACGTTTGGCGTGCACATGTATTTCGTCGAAATGAATAAAAGATGATAACCGGCTTCGCACTTGTTCTCACTTATTAAGAGGACACTTCAGAACCTTCTCATAGCGCTCAAAGGTTAAAGTACAGCCCCATGTTTCTAGAAACAAGCCGGTTGCTTGGCAGATCTGGTAATAAAAAATGATGAAATACTCCCCTCTGATGTTACTCCCCGCAAACTCACTGCTCTGCCATCCAGCGCTGCTCCTCATCCAAGTTTAAGTTCACACCAGATGCAGTCCGTTCCGTTTGGCAGCTGCATCAAAATCACGTCACCATGCTTTCCAATGGGATTTCTGGTGCTCGGTTCACACCAGTCCACACAACAGTCCGTTTCGATGCAGTCAGAAAGAAATACTGCTGGTCTCATTTTAGCTGTACCTGATCGCAACGGAACGGATGCAAACGCACTGGACTGCACCTGAAAGCCCATTTTAAGCCTAAAAAAAAGGTGTCAAAATCGCATCGTACTGCAGCTGGGCAGACGCACACAATTATGGTGTGATCTAGCCTAATAATGCCTGGTGTAATCAAACCCACTTCCTGTGAGCCCAGGTCTTCATAGACCTGGGAGGGGGCATTTCATCTTGCCAGTCTAGCACACAGTACTGAACAAGGTGGCATTCACATGTCATTGTGTATGTTCCGCGCCCTCTTGGAAGGAGGAAAAGAGGTACTCTTGGTGTGACTACACTGGCTGGAAGACTGCAGGAAAAATAGTATCTATAATGGGAATCAAAAGATTAAAGGAAAAAAAGAGTCGGGAGGGTTTAGGGAGAGCAACACGAAAGTGGAGTTGGGCTTTAAAGTACAGTATACGTAAACCCATGCTAAAAATTCAAAGTATTGTAAGCTTGCTCTCCATGAGGCTAGGCTTACACCTAGGCGATTCAGATGCCGAGCCGTGACTGTTCATTGTAAACCGCGCGGTTGTCACACGTTTTTCAATGCATAGAGATGTCTAATGGACCCAAACCATGCGACAACCGCCCGAAAATAGCTCCTGCACCTTTTCACGTGACAAACCGCAAAGGTGTGAGCAGCCTCCATTGACTTCAATGGGAATCTGTGTTTTGCATGATAAATCGCCTAGGTGTGCAAGGGCCCTTAAACATGCCAGGGCCTTGGTCATTGGCTTGACGATAGCATTGTAATTGTACAGGCGATTAGGCTACTGTGCTCAGAGGTGGCTAATCACCACACCTGGACACAATGGCACTCTGGGCTATAGCTGCATACATACTGGGTGATCAGCTGCAGCCGCTTTGTACATGACTGGCCCTGGATGCAGAAGGTTTGTGGGAGCTTGTTTACCTGTGGGCCAGTGGAACCAATTCTGGTGGCTGAAAACTGCTTCCAGCGGCCAGTAAACAGAGTGTACCCCCTCCACTGCCCTTCCTGCGGGTCTGGGACCAGCATCACGGGTGTCAGCAGATAGCAAGGAGAGAGACCAGGGAACATCCGTTCTCCGATCTCCTCCCTACTGAATGAAGCCAGAAGCTATGCTGATTGCATCACTTCTAGCTTCTGAGCCATCACTCCCTGGCTACAGAAGCAGATCTGTGCTTGATCAGCTTCATTGAAGTCCAAAGGTTACATTAGACCCCTAATGTCACCTTAAAGAGCGCCTGTCACCTCCAATGTGCTATCACTTAGGGGGCTTGTGACCCCCCCCCCCCTCATGCAAAATCAACAAAGTTAAATAATAAAAGTTTAAAATAATTAAGTTAAATAGAAAATGAAAAATACCCCCCAAAAATGTTTAAAGTCCCCCGTTTTTGGCATGTTAGGTGTCTATTTCCTCTTTTAGATTTGACAAAAAAAATGTGAATATTATATTGTGTTTTGTGCACTTGAATGAACCTGAGTGTGTTTTTGTATAAAACTTTTGTTTGATGAAGTTGCGCTAATATCATGCGACATAAAAATTTGCAGCTGGCGCCATTTTATCTGGGTCTGTACTTTCAGGAAATATATCATTCAGGTGGGGGGGGTTAAGCAATTTGTGCAAAACAGGCTCTGGCAGCGAAAGTGTTAAAGTAGAAGTTGGTAACAATAGCAGATATAGTGATGCGAGGTAAGTGGAGGGAAAAGGTCGGTAGGTCGTCTATTTGTATTGGTCATTCATTACTGAATGCATCTTCTTCACACTGCAATCTGTACACTGTGTCTGTCTCTCATACGGCTCTCAAATCCTATCCATGGGTACACAGATCTTTGTAATGCCAGTCGGTGGGCACTCCTGCGTGCGCGTTTCTAGTGCGGTCAGATCTCGGTGACTTGCAGGTGTCCCTTGCTTCAAACTGGGAGTTGGCAGCACAAGGTGACAACAACCTCACCACGTTACAATCCGATTGTACAATCTCCTTTTATGGGTCGTTCACACCAGATGCAGTGCGTTCCGGCCCGAACGCACTGCCTCGCATGGCGGCCGGCTCACTTTTTTGTGGGGCAGGAGGGGACGCGGCAGGCCATTGAAGTGAATGGCACCCTAACCACGCCCTCCGGCCGCACAGGATCACAAGGCACATTATGCCTGCGGTTTGTTCGGATCAAAATGCTGCAATAGGAGCAGATTGCATCGGGCCAGACCGGACCGCAGGATTTTATTTTTGGAGCGTTTGTTAGGGCAGAAAAAGCGCTACAAAACATAGTGTGAACCAGGACTTAGGGAGCGTGGTCACCATGAGAGCCAGGCAACTAACACTTCCAGATACAATGACAGTCTCCATGTGTTTGTACAGAGCAGGAACGGAGACGCTCCTAACCTGCACTCGCACTGTGCGTTTACAAGTGCTTTGTGTGTGTATAGGACACTTCGGGCATTTCTGTTTTGACCAGGAAATTTTTATGCTTGATGTGTTGTCGCGGTGCCATGTAGGATGTGAGGAACCTTGAGTCCCGCACATCAGACATTGTGCCGCAAGGTTTATTGAAGTTTAAGGTATTGATGTGGAGCTCAGTACGGGGTAAAGCGGTGTCATGAATGACGTGGAGGGCTCAGGACTCTTGTCTTGCGCTCCACGTCAGGCATCTCGCCGCAGCGCGAATGTAATTTATTGTGCGATTGAGATGTATTGCTATGTGGTGTTTATGCGCTGCGTCGCAGTACGAGGTTGAATGTACCCCGATTGTATAGCTTGTTTTTGTATATTTTATTACATTAATAAAGTATATTTTTCAATCAAAAATTTCTGTTTTGACCAATGGAAAGCAGTTGTAGCGGAGGAGGCGTTCTTCAGGCGTTAAGTCACGTATGTCACACGGTTACAGGCGCACCCATGGAAGTCTATGGGGCCAAAAATGCTCATAAAATAAAAAAACGTTTTTGGAGCTCAGAGCGTCCAAATGTGACCAGAGACTACGAAGAAGAATGGGATTGTGAACGCTGAATGTTGTCCGGCATAGGAAACAACATGGAGACAGAAGGGAAGCCAGTCATAGCGGAGTCTGAACCCCTCACCAGCCCCCCACAGGGAGTAGTGAAGCCACTGGTTTAAATTACAGCCAACCAGCATTTTCAGATGCCAGCCCACATATTTCTCTGATAAAAGGATTCAATGCATAATATGCCCTCTGACTTCTATACTGCCATCATCCTTCATTACCAATCCGCCCCTATCACCGCCACCTCATCTGCAGCATCTCATACATGGCTCCACTTATATGCACCTTTGTAACGCCTTGTTAGCGCCTAAATCCCCCTTGTAACGCCTTGTAAGCGCCTAAATCCCGCCTTGTTAGCGCCTAAATTCCCCCTTCCAGCGCCTACGTCACCCAATACTTGCCCGGCCCCCGTTCTCCAGCCCACCCCGTCTTTCTTCAGCCCGAAAATCCTCCTCCAGTCCGCTTGTACGGGTCATTGGTGTCCCTATAGTGCCTTAACCCCCCTCCCGTCAGCACACCACCTCTACATCTACCGGAAGTCATGCGGTCCCACAACTCGATAAGTTCGCACTTTCGACACATCACCGGCGCCCGCCCCGCCCGGCAGCCTGAGGCCCCCTGGTGCCCGTGTGCAGGTACTGCAGGCCGCGGAACCAGCGCTGACATACCGAGTTCCCATCGGACTGTTTATACTGCAGCACGCAGTGTGTTATGTGTGGAGGAGGGGAATAATACAGCGATAGAAATGGTGTCCAACTATGTAAGTACATGACAGCATCGGCCCACCTGTGCCTGATCTGCATGGAAGGGGATGGACTAAGACTGGGGCTTTGCACTGGTGGCACCATTCCCTGCAAGGCAGTATACATAGTAGTGAAGAGCACCCCCCGCTCCCAGCATGCCTTGCCTGGAAGTGTACATAGTTGTGCTGGCTTCCCCAGCAGGATTACATGTCTCATCATTCCCTGTCAGACAGTATACATAACAATGACCCCACCGGGACTACAAATCCCAGCATGCTTTGCCTGGCCGTATACATAGATCTGCAGCCTGCCCCAAGAGGACTACACATTTCTGCATGCTTTGCCTGGCAGTATAACATAGTTGATATGTAGACAGCTAGCTAAATAGTTTAGTGGTTAGTGCTCCTGACTTGCAGCACTGTTCAAATCCTGGCCAGGTCACCATTTACAAGGTGTTTGCATGTTCTGCCTGTGTGGGTTTCCACCAGGTGCTCTAGTTTCCTCCCACACTCCAAACACATGCTGGTGGGTAAATTGGCCCTTGTATATATGCATGCAAGATAGGAACCTTAGATTGTAAGCTTCTTGAGGGCAGGGATTAATGTGATTGTATGCTGTTTAAAAATTGTTGGCACAATATAAATAAATATATACACAAATTATGGGTGCACATTTGTGCCTTTTGGATTGCCTTAATGCAGCATGTGTGTGTTACTGCACCATAACAGAGCACATACGTATAAATCTGTCCTGAAAGTTACGTCTTATTTTAAAGGGAATACTAATATTCCCCTAAAGTAAATCCAATGATTACACTAAACAGTGGCAGCTGCTGTGCTATAAATAAGTAAATTGATAAATCGTGTGGACTGCGCTACTGCTCATAAACGTGCATAAACTTCCAAACAATGTGTACATTTTCATAAACATACATTTTCGTATTACATGGCACCTGCCGTGTAATACGAAAAGGAGGCTTTGTTTCATCAGAAGAGTGAATATCCCATCTATGAAAGACACTCCCCACAATTACGTTTATTGACCATTGAGTTATATGGTCATGGATCTCTGGTGAGTGTGTTCTCAGTTACCTTAACACATCGGGAGTTTGGAGCACTTTATTTCAGAGGATCATTGTCACATTGTGGATTTTGCACAAAAGCACTTTATACCGATTTACTAAGGACTATTATTGAATATCGTCATATTGATTATTATTATGTTTGAAAATGTGTGTTTATGAAAATGTACACATTGTTTGGAAGGTTATTTTAAAGGGATCCCAGCAGAGCAATGGTCACAGTCACGGCTCCCACATTATTATATTTTTTTCTTCATGCAGGCACGTGGCTACCAAGGCTACGAATCAGATTTTAGCGATGAGGAAGAAGAATCGGACAAAAATGCCAAGAACAGACGGTAACTAGTTCCAAGAAGTCTATTGTTTATGTTTAGTGTATTCATGTAGAGTCCACTGGTGATGGTGCAAACATACTGTACCTGAGTTGGGTTTGGGTTCGAACTTTAGAACATGGAAAAAGTTTGAATTTGAAGTCAATGAAAGTATATGGGACCAGAAATTCTGAGAACCATTTTGAAGGCTTATATGCAAGTTATTGGCCATAAAAGAGGTATGGGGGTTCGGGTACTTCCCTAGGGGACATGTATCAATGAGAAAAACACTTTTAAAAAATACAGTTTTTAATGGAGCAGCGATTTTAACATTGCTTAAACTGAAACAATAAACATGAAAAATTCCTTTAAATATCGTGTCTGGGGGGTCCCTTTAAACTGCCTGTAAAGTGGCGGATCTGTACGATGTATAGAACCTGCTGCAGCAAAAATGACATTTATAAAAAAGAAAAAAAAAGTGTGCGGTTCCCTATCCCAAACAATACCAGACACCTTAGGTCTGGTAGGAATGTTAGGAGGGACCACATTTAAATAAAAGGAAAAAAAAGTCATACCAGACCCTTAAGCTCTGGTATGAATTTTAGGAGGGACCCCATAAAAAAAAAGTGCACAGGGTTCCCCCTCAAAGTCATGCCAGGCCTTTAAGGTCTGGTAGGAATTTTAAGGAGGGCTGGGATATGGGGTCCCTCCTAAAATTCCATACTAGACCCTTGATCCGAGCACAGGCCTGACAGGAAAGGGGGAGGGGGAGACAAGCGAGTGGCTCCCCCATTCCCTCCCATCCCGGGCCACATGCCCTCACCACTGGGAGGGTGCTTTTCCAGGGTCGTCCCTAAAAAAGCACCTTGTCCCCATGCACCTTGTCCCCATCGGGACAAAGGCCTCTTCCCCACAAGCCCTGGGGTGTCGGTTGTGGGGGTGCAGGGGGCTTATTCACAAGGGGCACCCAGATGCACTCCCCTCCCCTGTGAATAAGGGGAACTTATACCCCTACCCATTCACTAAACGGTTAAATCAATTTTTTTTAAATACGCCAGACTTTTGAAAAAAATCCTTTAAAAGAGAACACTGAGGTAAGTGTTTTCACCATACTTCTCTTTACATATACTAACCTCCCATGACCCAATGCTCAGTATATCATGGGCCACAGCCAGGACGGGTCCTGACAATACTGTCGAGATCCACCCAGCTGTGTGAGTGACAGCGGGCTCTGCCTATCTAGAGGCAGAGCTAGCTGTGCCCGCCCCCTCCCCCTTTAGTTCCTCCACTCAAGCGCTGGAGGAATGGAGAGGGGAGGGGGGAATCCCTGCGGGGAGTGGTGACTGACAGTCACCGCTCACTGCAGGGAGATGATTGGGAAGTGAGCGGAACGGCTGCATGTTTCTGTTCACTTCCGGATTGATAGAGCGGACCTGTGACAGATTCTTTGTCACAGGTCGGCTCTAACTGAGGATGAGTGGAAATCACTCACCTCATAGATCTCCTTTTAATTGGAAAAAAAACAAAAGACATGTTTTTGACAGTCTTTTATTTAAAAAAAAAACTGATCCACCGACGTAATCCTAGGGTCAATCACGACGTCCAGCATTGTCCATGATGACTCGACGAAATAAAAAAAAAGTGATGCCTTCAAAATATAAACAATTGGGGGAGCTAGTGGTGACATCCCTCCCAACTGTTTACATTTGTCCACCACCTGACAGGACTTAGCTGTGTGAGCCATGATTGGTCAAAGTCATTATTACTTTGCCCAGTCATGGCTGTCACAGTTCTCTATGTTGTGATTGGGTAAAGTCTTGCACTGCAGAGGCATTGCTTTACCCAATCAGGGCTTCACAAGGCACTGTGCGGTGCGCAGTGCCTTGTGGGGTGCTTGGTGGGCGGACAGCCCGCCGAACGCCCTGATAGTTCGTGTGTTCACTGAACACATGAACTACCGATGTTCGAGTGGAACTGTTGCTCGACTCGAACATCGAGAGTCGACCATCCCTAGAGTCCACTATAGTTAGATTACAAGTTGTGCCTGCAGTTGAATCTGTAGCTGAGCAGTGCGGCCAGCTTGTGTGAGTTCCGTGCAGCGTGTGCCAAATGAAAGGACCACCTCTGTTTCCAGATCAAATAATACGCACCCAAAATTGAAACTTTGATGGAGAGTGAAAATGACTCACATAATAGTACTCAAAAGATAAGGTCTCCATTGAACATTCTAAGCATTTCAAAGTAGTGTTCTAATAAACCTCCTTTATTACTGTAATACAATCAGACTTCACATACAGTAATAAATACACCTGTTGTTTTTCCTTTTATCTGGTAGGTACTGCAGCAAGAGTTAAAAAAAAGCTCTGTACTGGCAGCACATAGGAGATTCTCACACTCAAGAAGCAGCCCAGCTCTCCCACGCACACCCATAAACGCTATCATCAACAGTACTGCTCAGGGAGTGAAAGCGATGTTGATTACAGCATCAATGATTCACCCTCTCAATTTGATCTGGTGACCATGGTTACCAAGATTGACCGTGAGGGAAAATCCCAAATTGTGAGTTGCCACCAGATCGGGAATAGATGGGAACTCTTCCAATGTGCACACTTGTTTCTGTGACACCAAATTATTATACAGGATTTATATAGCGCCAACAGTTTGTGCAGCACTTTACAATATAAGGAAGACATTACAATCACAATACAATTCAAGACATAATAAAAACTTTTTATTATGTCATAACTATGTATGCAGAGGTGCCTGTATAGCAGGAATAGTCATCCTTGGCACTCTAGCTGTTGTGGAACTACAAGTCCCATGAGTCATTGCAAGACTCTTACAGCCACGACTGCCAAGGGCAGAGGCATGACGGGATTTGTAGTTTCACCACAGCCGGAGTGCCAAGGTTGCCTACCCTTGCTGTACAGAAAAGCTGAAATGGTTACAGCAATGCCTGTTGTTCGCAGGCAAGCTTATGTTCTCATCTTGGTGTGTGCAATCTCAGGAACAGTGACGGAACATGAAACAAGGAATACTTTTTTGATATGTTGGTTTAGATAGATCAGTGAAGGGTTAGAACCCCTGTTTGGCTCTCTTGATAAAGAGGTTCCCTCTTGCTATTTGTCCTTCTGACCATTGTGACCAGGAATGAAAGTGAGAGCAGAGTCAGGGCAGTGGGCGGAGAGAATAGAAGGTAAGGCAGCTGTGGAGGGGTGCAGACAAGTAAACCTGTCGCTTTTCTCTACACAAAGTACAGGTTCACTTACCGGGCTTAATGGGTTGGTTTAAGTGTTGGGAAGGGGTGAGGTGGCAAGTGTTAAGGGTTTTTCTGGAGGCTGTTTGGCATTAAGTGTAAAGCTGGCCATACACCTATAGATAATCTGCAGATTTTCGATGATCAGATGGAAAAAGTGCAACAGATTCCTCCATCTACGCTAAACTGTGTGAATGGAGGAATCTCCCACTGGGCCAAGCTTCAGTATGTTGCTAGTCGGCCCCACTGTTTCTTAAAATACCTAAACAATGCCTGCATCCAATTGTTCACGTATTTTGACGGCGAGCGGGGCCGACTAGCAAGATACTGAAGCTTGGCCCAGTGGGAGATTCCTCCATCCACACAGTTTATCTTAGATGGAGGAATCTGTTGCACTTTTTCCATCTGACCATAGAAAATCAGCAGATAATCTACAGGTGTATGGCCAGCTTTGTGGTAGAGAACAGTTCAGTGTCAAGAGGGTGCTTTAGTTTCCGGAATACTTTATTAGTTAGTAAAACACTAGGCATCTGCCGTTTTAACACGTCAGGTTCTCAGCATCAGTAGTCTTGCACCAAAATCAACCATTGCCAGTCTCTGGGCAGCGAGAATAAAAGCATGGAAACAAGAGGGTCATCGTGACAGCCAGATAACTAGCATTCTTACACTGCAGTCAGCAATCACATCCTTCCTGTGTCTCTCATGACAGGTTTACTTTGTCTAGGTTACGAATGTTCTCAGAACCAAGTTACTGCTTTTGCCTGCCTGAAGAAAATTTGTCTAACTTTCAGTCAGACTTTGTACCTGGAATTCATCATTTAGAAGAGTCTCTACTCCACCATGCAACAAATGTTGGTGAATGTGATAAACTCTTGTACATCATATACACACATCAACTTTTCACGAACCCTTGTGTACAGATCTCAAGGATGCTATGCAGCTGAGCCTGCTTGGTTACTAGGACACTGGATGCCTCAGGGCCACCAGCTTCTTAAGCAACCAATGACGTAGCACATAACTCAAGGATGCTGTGCAGGTAACATCATTTTCACCACATTTCACATCAGCGCCACAGGATTTGCATATTTGCCCTTTAATAACCACCACAATAGAAGGCAGCCCCGTTAGCAGTCAGGGAACTGAACAACCTAAAAACAGAAAATGATGGGGCGCCTTCACTAGTGTAAAATTGTTTACGAAATGATAATAAATAGTATGAATCATGCAGCCAAGCCTGATTGGTTGCTAGGATTCTGGCAGGCTCCTATAAACCAATGTCTTTGTTTGTCCAGCTTAACTGGTTGGCAGGAAGCTGATGGCCTTCTAGCAACCAATGATTTTGTGTGTCCAGCCTGACTGGTTGCTAGGATGCTGGCAGGCCTTGGGGCCACCTACATCCTATCAACCAAGGACATTGCAGCTGAGCACCATTGGTTGCTAGGTCATCGGGAGCCTCAGGGCAGCTAGCAACCAACAACATGAGGGTAAGGGACAAACTCCTTACTCCCCACACAAATTACTTCAAATTGACATTGGTACTATTTACTGCTAGATTCCTTAACTCCTAAATGGTGTTATTTCTTTACGAATTTGTTGCCGCCAGCCGCGACGTAATGTAAAAGTGTTGCTTTCAAGAACTACCTGAATTTGTTGCACGTGTCGGTGATAGCATTAAAATCTGAATTTGACAAATGACATTCTTAGAATCGGCACCAGAAAAGTGTTGCAGATGCTATAGTGAATCGCCCCGAGTATTTCATGATTAATGATT